AGGGCAGCGGCGGGGGTGGGGAGGCCTCGGAGCCCAGCTCCCAGGTGAAGTCCGCGCCCAGGGGCTGGAGCAGGCGGGCCAGCCCTGCCGTGCCATGCAGCTCTAAGGAATCTCCCGTGTTTCTTCCTGCGTGTAAGCGCCGCCCCCGCCCCACGCACCTGTTCAGGACAACACTCTCCCTCGAGTCTCGGAATAGAAAAGGGAAGTTTCGCTGAGCCTCAGAGATGAAGACCACAGAGGGGAGACTTCTCACTGTCCCTGGTTTTGCTTCCCCTGCTTCTGCCCCCGCTTCCCCTCTCCCTGCCCCCCTCCCAGAGGAACAGCTCGGCCCCGCGGGAAGTGGTGGCCGAGGAAAGGCCTGGCTGTGGCCTCCTGTCCCCCGCCTCCGAGGTCAGGGCCGGGCGCCGGGAGCGTGGCTTGCAGAACGAGTTACAGATCAGAGCCGAGGGCTGCGGACGTGATGGTGCGGAGAGTGTGGCTCCAAGAACCGGCTCCAGGCCGGGCCCTGCCATCCACGGGGAGGCTCCTGTGAGTCCTCAGGCCTCGCCGGCCTGGATTTCCTCCGCCGCAGAGTGGGCAGTGCCAGGCAGTGCTGGGCGAGATGCCCCCCGGCCACCAACACCAGTAGCTGCTGGTCTCCTGATCCCTCTCGTCCCCTCAGGTGTCAGCAGACGTCCTCACTGCGTCTGTCCCTAAGGCTCGCGCTGGCCGGGGTTAGGGGTTCGTCTCTGGAGGGAGGAGGAGGTTCGTCTCTGGAGGGGGAGGAGGTTACCCTGACAACGTCTCTTATCCTCGATTCGTAAGCACAGGACCAGGCTGCTCCAGGTCAAGATTAGTCTCCTAGAGGCCTCAGGATGTGACTCCCCCGCCCCCCCGCGCAGACAGAATTGTGACCAGAACACCCGTGGGTTCCTTGTCATTGAGCTCGCTGGGCTGCGGGAGCCTCGTTCTGTTCACAGGCTGGACAGCTAAGCAGTACCCCAAAGCCATGGTCACCGTGAAGGGCCACCTGAAGGCGCACCCCACCTCACAGGCCTCCTACGGGGGGAGGGGGACCCACCGAGGACCAGGCACACGTCCTTCCATCTCTCCATCGACGGCCACCGCTCACTCACTCACCAACACTGATGCTGCGTCCAGTCCTTCACCAACACAAGCTGCAGGGCACGGGGAGGCTCCTGTGAGTCCTCAGGCCTCGCGGGCCTGGATTTCCTCCGCCGCAGAGCGGGCAGTGCCAGGCAGTGCTGGGCG